AACCTTTCTGTATCTAAAGGGGAGCTACAAGAAAGAAGGGGGCAGACTTAGCAGGGTCTGTTGTGATAGGGCAAGGGGAAAAGGTTTCAAACGCAGTAAGGGCAGATTTAGGTTGGATATAAGGAAGAGGTCTTACATAATGGGATGGGGAGGCACTGGAACAGGTTGCCCACAGATGTGGTGGAAGTCCAAGGAAGGCCAACTGTAAGGTGTTGCCCTTGGGTTGGGGCAATTCTAGTTATTTGTATGGACTGGGAGAAGAATTCATGGAACGTAGCCCAGCTGAGAAAGACTTTGAGATTCTAGTGGGCAAAAAGTTGGATATGATCCATCAGTGTGTATTGCAGCCCTAAAGACTAGCTGTATCCTGCGCTGCATCAACAGAAAAGTGGCCAGCAGGGAAAAGGAGGTGATTGTCTAATTCTGCTCAGGTCTCATGAGACCCCATCTGGAGTACTGTATATAGGCCTGGGGCTCCCCAGCTCAATAAAGATGTGGAGCTGTTGGAGGAGGTCAAAAGGAGGGCCATGGTCAAAAGGAGGGACAGAGGGTTGGGGCACCTCTCTAATGAGGTACAGGCTGAGGGAACTGGTGGTCTTTGGCCTGGAGAAAAGAAAGTTCTGGAGCTCTGGGGGAACACAGTCCTCCACTACTTGGGGTGAGCTTAAATGCAGGAGGGAGACTAAGTTTTTACACTGTCTGAAAAGGGCAGGATAAGGTAGAATGGCTTTAAACTGAAAAGAGTGGAAATTTAGGGTAGATGTTAAGCAGAAATTCTTTACTCGGAGGGTGCTGAGGCCCTGGCACAGCTGCCCAGAGAAGTTGTGAATGCCCCCTCCCTGTAGGTGCTCCAGGCCAGGTTGGATGGGGTTCTGGGCAGTCTCATCTGCTGGGCAGCCCTGCCCAAAGCAGGAGATAGGAACTAGGTAATCTTTAATGTCCATTCTAACCTCAACCATTCTGTGATTCTGTGATGTACTCAAATATTTTCCAAATAAATTATGTTCTCATGTTTTAGCTCCCTTTTGTTTGCCTGGGTTATTCAATGTTTCCTGACATTGTTTAAATGGGGAATGTTTCCTCCCCCTTGAGAAAATTTAAAGAAAGGGAGGAGGAAATGTTTTGGGAGTTTCATGTGACAAAACTTAGAAATTATATAACTACCACCTGTAATAAATCTACATATTTCTTGTTAAACCTCACTGGCACATCTAGTTGTTTTTCTTGCTTTCTGCTGCCACTGTCACAGTCTTTTGACTTCTGGGCAGTGATTCTAAATCCAACATCCCTTCTTTTTTTGATTTTTCACTCAGCTGGATAGGTTGCTTCTAAAGCACTTTCATACTGCAGCACAGCTTTTCTAGCTGCTCCTGGCAAGGGAATTTGTATGTACTTTCTGAAGAAAACAGTACCATCTAGTCTTGTGGGTGGCACTGATCAACAGGCTGGTTATGAATTTACTTAAAATGTAATCATGCTGAACTTGGTACTCTTCAGCTATAAAAGAGATGATGTTTAACCCTGATAAGCAGGTAAGCACCACAGTTGCTCTCTTACTCCCACCCAGTTCTCTTTCGGTCCAAAATTAACAAATTTGTGAGCCAAAACAAAGAGGGTCGCACAGCACCTGCTCAGTGATGCGTAACCAGTTCCCAAGCAATGACAGCATCTGGCCAGCTCCCCCAGTGTATCGTTCTGTATGACACCACATGGTATGTGACATCCACTTGGGTCAACTGTGCTGGTTTTTTCCCTCCCAGCTCCTTGTTAGCTCCCAGCTCCTCCCTGGCAGAGCAGTGTCAGAAGCTGAAAAGTCCTTGGCTCTGTGCAGCACTGCTCAGCAGTAGGTAGAACATCAGTGTGTTACCTCTTGCTGCACTGCTCTACTGCTGTGAATTAAATAAGTGATGGTGACCACTGTGCTTTTTAAGAGCTGAGAACTTCATACATCCTATTCTTATCCTTTGTGACTCCATGGCAGCCCTCCTGCTTAAATAATCGGCTGTTTTTTATGTATATATATGTATATATGTGTATAATATTTTTATATATTTTCACAAGTGATTTTGTTCTGTAAATATTAAATACAAAGCTGCACCTTTTCGCCCTAAAGACTTACAAATAAAAATTGAATTTATTCCAGGAAATCTTAGTTAATTTCTCTGCTTAAGCCAACTGTAAATCGGAATAAAACTAACAAAACTTTAGGCTAATGTGGACTCTAAAATACACTAGAGTTATGTACTGTTCCATAAAGAATTCAGTCACAATTCAGTCACTGTCAAACTGAAGTCCACCAGATGGAAAGCTCAAAACTAGAGCAGCTCTTGTCCGACTGACTGCATTTCTTCTGAAATATAGAAATTCCAATTGAAAGTCTCTTTGAATGCTGGTCTGCTACAAATTCTGAGCAGCTGTTTAAATGTAAGCCAGTATTGCAGCTCTACTTCTGCTTGCCAGCCTGTACTTCTACTTAGCAGAAATGAGGGATTGCTTCTGCCAGGCCTGGTGGGTGCTTCAGTCTGCCTTGTGCTGAATTTGGTGGCATTTTTTTTTGCTACTCCTCCTAGTGCTGGCATGGTGGGATACTGTCGGGTTAGAAGTGCTGAAGAATTAAGAAAATATATAAACAGGAGATAACAACGGATTAAAAATGTCACAAGATTAATCTAAAGCTATACGTAGAGAAATTGCATACAGATACACAGTATATCTAGACCTACCCATGTTAGCATTTTGACCTTTACATACCAATACTATAAATAAGTGTAATATCTAAGTGTATATTCATGTAATATGTCCATAATAGAGGTAGATCTAGTTACTTATCTACAAATGTTTCTTGGAATTGATAGTTTTATGGTGTGTTTCTATAATTCTGACAAACTTTCTACAAGAATTTAAGTGCATTAAATGATTTGTGATTTCCCTAGATTCCTTAGGCTTTCTTTACATCTGTAACGTCTTAGGAATCCATAGATCCCTGATATTAGCTGGAAAATAGATTATCTCTACAATTTTATTTTGAATTCCATATTTCTTCAGTGTTCTTTTCTTCTCACAATATAATAGAAGCAGATCATGCATTGTAATTAAAAAAAAAAATCCAAGCACAAAAAAAAACAGCAACAACAAAAGCAACGACAACAACAAAAAAAAAACCAATGCTGAAATTTGGGGCTGTAAGACAGTGCCTGTTGAAACAACATTAATAGAGGGCTTTCTCTGTCCTATGGGAAAGACTGTCTCTTATGCAAAAACCCAGTCATTTTGCATTGACTAGCAAGAGCACAAACCATTGAGCTACTGAGGAGACGACATGCTGACTAGCAGGTCAATGGAGATGATTCTGCCCCTCCATTCTGCTCTCGTGAGACTCCAGCTGAAGTACTGTGTCCAGTTCTGGGGCCCCAACACAAGAAGAACATGGAGCTGTCAGAGTGGGTCCAGAGGAGGGCCACAAAGATGATCAGAGGGCTGTAGCACCTCCCTTACAAAGACAGGCTGAGAGAGCTGGGGCACTTCAGCCCAGAAAAGGGAAGACTCCAGGGAGTACCTTATAGCAGCTTTCCAGTACCTGTAGGAAAGCTGGGGAAGGACTTTTTATAGGGGCATATAGCCCTTATAAAGGGTTGAGGATGAGGAGAAATGACTTTAAACTGGAAGAGCGAAGATTTAGACTAGATATAAGGAAGAAATTCTTTACTGTGAGGATGGTGAGACACTGGAACAAGTTGCCCAGAGAGGCTGTGGATGCCCCCTCCCTGGAAGCATTCAAGGCCAGGCTGGAGGGAGCTTTGAGCAACCTGGTCTAGAGGGAGGTATCCCTGCGTATAGCAGGGGATTGGAACTAAGTGATCTTAAAGGTCCCTTTCAGCCCTTACCATTCTGTGATTCTATGATTCTAACACTAATATTAGTTATACTGATTAACTTAGTCTGTGCAGATTTTTTTTCCAGATTTCTCTTCTAGCTGAATTTTGATAGCTTCGTATTCCAAATGGTTTTCTATTAAAAGTCACTGGAGCAAACACTACTCTCTTGTAGTTCAGTTACATTCCTTATGCTTTCACTAAATAGTCGCATTTCTGTACCCCAAATAAATAAATAAATATTCTTTGCCAAACAAGCTAAAATAGTTTCTAAAGCAGACATTTTGGACTGTGGTTAAAAACAAAAACAAACAAAAAAATTATAGAACAAATACAGTGCAGTACCTGGAACCGTTTGTACTTATCCTTGAGATACTTGTCCAACATTCAGTTTTCTTATCCAAATGTTAGCTTTTAGCTTAATACAAGCATTTTTGAAGTCTACTGCATGACCTACCTGTCCCTTCCTACCTTAAGATTTGTACATTATTCTGTTCTTTGATATTCTGCTATATGAAGTGTCAAGATAAATTGGAGTTGTGTGTTTCTGTTCTTCAGTTGTGGTCCCTTGTAGGATATTAGTCTGCCTTAAAAATAATTAAAATGCTATTAAATTAAATGTAGTGCCAGACAGCTGATCTGATTTATCAAGACAGTATTGATTGAATACGTCACTGTGTCAAACAAAAAGCAGATCATTCCTAAGAGACGAGTATCGAAGAAGAAATACAGGGGTTGAGAAAGGAAAATAGAGAAACTCAGTAAAACAGTGGAGAAAAAAACAGTGTCCACCCTTGCAAAATAGTGATCTCAGTATTGGAACTAAATTGTTTTTCCCCTTTTTTAGTCATTGTAGGTTAAGAGATGATGAGGCATAATCTGTAACAGAAAGATGGAGTCATTTGGCTCGACAATAGATCAGCAGACTGAAGAGTAGATAAATTATAGTCTTTCAGGTTCCCACTTTTGCATCCTGTTCTTTTCAACATCTGTCAAAGTTTACTTAGGTGTTCATCTCTAATAGCGCACAAAAAGAAATGGGAAAAACTCACAGAACTGTATCCTTTCAGTTATTTGATTAAAATAGCTAACTGAAGAAAAAGCATATATAATTGTTTTCCTTTGTAGGATTTTGAACTAAATAATGAGTTGAAAATGAATGTGTTAAATTTGCTGGAAGAAGTTTTGAGAGACCCTGATCTTCTACCACAAGAAAGGAAAGCTACTGCAAATATCCTGAGGTAAATACATTTCTGTAAAGTTCGTCTATCTGTAGCATGTGGAATAGAAATGAGAACATGTATTATAGAATTCACATGATATGTTTTTCTCCAGAGTATTTGTTTTTGGAATATTAGTGTTTTATTTGCTGTAAGACATAAGAAATTTGAAGCATGTCATCCAGCAGCAAACAGAGCATACTTTCAGGTTGATCTGTAGTAATTGTGGCTAAGTATACACACATTGCACATATTGTACAGTAGGATCTAAAGAACAGTTAACCAAAGAATAATTTGGATATCTTAAAAATGGACTTGGGAAAACTTGTCTATGTCTATTACGAGGAATGTTTTAAAATTCCTTTGTAACTTCATGAGTCTACACAAACATCAGGTATCAGATCATGCCAAGTTTTATTCAGAACACTGTCTCTTAAAAAAATCTGGCAGCTACTGGTTCAATCTTTATGTGGTAGGGAAAAGTGCTGTCTAGTAAAGCAGGAAGACCATTGCCCTGTAAAACCTTGAATAACTCTTATCTCAGTGATGAGCAATCAGTGCTACTAAGTTCTTGGGAGGCTGTTGGCAGTCTAATGTGTCATGACAGTCACTAGACCATGCTTGCACTTTCCTTTGTGTTGACAGTTGTGTCTTTACTACTTTGGGTAGCTTAGTGCCACAGAATAAAAGATCCTTAAACTCCTGCATAACCAGAATTATTTAACTTGTGTTTCAAACACCTTATTTTGAAATTTAGGGTTGTTGTTTGAGAACTAAGTGTCCTCCAGTCATGCCAGACAAAGCCTCGCATGCATTTATAATTGAAAACAATTCATTATAGTAAGTATGAATGTTTTATAGTAACATTTTTTCATGTAAATTATTCTACATTACACGAAACAGTAAACATGTGGAGATAAAATAATTATTAAAATAAGACAATGAAAAAACACAGATAAACCTATGATACGCCTAATATTTTCCTCGGTATTCTGCTGGATAGCTAACAAAGATGCAATCAGTGCTGTGTGTCTGAATTTTCTAAGAACAACTGACTGTTTTCCCATCCAATATTTATGTGAAAAAGAATATCAGAAGAGTAACACTGTATTGTTGATGGTGAAAAGAAAATATTGGAGAAAAGAAACAAGGTTCTTAATATAAGTTTGTGCTAAAAGGACCCTACTTCATTTTTATGTGAACAGAAATATATCTTTTTGTTAATGATACTGTGTGTGCTGTTATTCACAGTATAAAAGGAAGTCAATTCCATGTATTTCCTTGGAAGAAAGTACAAAAAGAGCACAAAGGGATTAATTTGTTTTACTGTAGCAGAATATAATAATACATTGGTGGTAAAGGCTGTGTCAGATTGCTCCTAGTGGAGAAAGTTACCTTAAGATCTTTAGCTGTGAGTATGTGAAAATGCGAGTATTCCTGACAAAGTAGTGGAACAAACTTGTAAGCGTGCAAGTATACCATATTGTTACCAATATCCTATATCCAGTTTCAAATTAGCCAGTTTCCATTAAAGGTTGCACCCAAAAATGAGATGCTGGTAATTAAGTGTAAACTGCAAGTTGACCCCAGTTATGTAAATGCTGCTATTCTATGAAATGGTGCATATCTTTTTTCATCTCTTTACTTTTTAATAGTTGCTATTGTAGTATCTAAACACACTGTATATGGTAGTGGCTGTTCTGTGATTTTCAGTGTTTTTTTGTGACAAAGAAAAAAAATTAAAGTCTTTAAGAAGTAAAAGTTCTGCAGGTTATGAATAGAATAAAATAGGACTAACAAAAGAAAACGATATTTGTAAATTAAAATTCTAGTAAAAATGAAAACTGTAGGCACAGAAAAAAAATTTTAACTCATTTAAAATATTTTGTAGAACAGACTCTTCTCTAAAAATCATTCTTTTATAGCCACTATCCTGTGTTACTGGGAAATATTATGGCACTTTACAAGAAAGCAAATAAAGCAATACTAAGACGATCTATTCAGGTTCTTATTAAGAGTTTGTTTTGGAGACAGGAAGAGAATGAAGATTTCCTGAGACAAGGTCTTCAATAAAGCTATCTTTCATCAGGATTTGCAGGTGCACACCTTCATCCTATCAGAATTTTCAAACAAAGTAGTTTGATTATAGGTTTCATCATATATTATGGTCACAAGTATTTGGTTACAACCCTCAAACTAGCACTAGAAAAAAAGACTTTGGTGGGTCAGCACTTGGAGCTAGTCTTTTTGACTGAAAGAGGCATGAATTATCTACTTGCCTTCAAAATGAGATAAAATTTAAGCTTTGCCTGTCAGTGATAATCAGAATTCCTGCGTTACTTTTCAAGACCAGCGGTGTTGCATCCTGAAACACTATGTTGAATATTTCCTTCCATACTGCCTAGTCCAGTAAAAATCAGTGACACAGTGTTTTTGTCTCAAGGGTCCAGAAAACTTCTGTGTTCCATTTTCTGTGTTCTGTTTTCTGTGGTAACCACGTTTCTGTAGCAGCTGAAATTACTTCTGTTTCATTGTCATGTATTTATTATGTATACAAACCTTTGTACACTTTCAAATATAAATATGCTTCAGGTGAAAACTAGTACAGAAATAATAACTTTCATCATGCAAACTGTTGTTAAGTTGCAGTGGATAGAGCCTCAGAATGTAATCTCCATGTTAAAAAATGTTAGTAAATGAAAATATACTGCCCCAAAGACTTACTCTGAGGTAAACAAAATCTGAAGTTTCGGAGCTCTCTCTTCACCCACAAAGGAGGCAGCTGTTTGTCAGACATGTCAAATTTGTTAAGTCAGCTGTTTAGGATAAATTAATTTTCCAGGAATGGGACTGCTTTGTGACCTTGTGAGAAAGACTGTGTTGGAGCAATCCTGATTTTGGATGAAAATCATTCAGCTAGGATGAAATACTCAGATGTGTCATATGTCTCATTCTTTCACTAAGAGAAGGAACTCTGATTCTGAAATCACCTCAAGAAAATGGGTTGCGTGCTAATTAGGAGCAGTTTCTCTGCTTTTTAAAGGCACTATAGTTACTCTCAAATATATGTTCTCAACTAGTTTATATGGTTAACTGAAAAGAGGAAATTATAGGACTCCAGGAGTAATCTGCAATTAAATTTTTTTGTGTGTAACTGTAAATCTGTGGTAATGACAGAAGGTTGCACATTCCTTTACTTTTCCACAAGTCTTCATTTTTATTGCACATTATTAACAAATTATATTGCTTATAAGCATTAAAAAAGTAATAATAAAAATTGTTAGTCCTATTTGGTTGACCTGTTCTCCCATGGAGGCTTCTGTCTGCCTCTGGAAGCATGTCCTCAGGAAAACCAGCTAGACATGTTCCCCTCTAATTCACCAGTTTCTCAGCTTGTTAGTGGATTCACAGGTCAAGCCAACTCCAGACTGTTCTTTAAAATCTTAACTTTTAATAATCCAAAATATAAAACTGAGTAATGGATTCAGTTAAGGATTTGGTTTTCCGGCCAGTTGAAAAGACCCTTGCTCGATTTTGGAACTGATATCATGAAGAATGAGAAACCAATAGAGGCAGAAAAGACATTATCCGCATGTCTGCATCCTATCTAATAACATAATTATATGAACCAAGCACATATCTAGGCTTTCTATTGCTAGACAAACAAAGAAAACTTTCTGTTTGCACTGTGCTCAAAGATACAAGCACTAAAAACAAAGACACTACTGGTGCAAAAAGCAGACACAGTAACACAGAGGTGGTTCTTCCCCCTTCATTATTATCTGATGCCTTCTGCAGTGCTGTTTCTGCTTATGGAACTAGGTCAAGAGAAATGTTTAACTGTGAGTTTTCTCTATGCATTGTCTCTGAAGATTTCTGTTTCTTGTAGAAGAAACAACCAAGACTGTTAGTCTTATAAATAGTCAGGTTTTCAGCAAACACTCCCATACTACACCAAGGTGTTATAAAGAGGTATTGTGTTCAGTACCGATGTATCTCTCAACATTGTGACTTTTATCCGCATATGATTACAGATTTTCTATCATCTGCTAACATGGTAGATTAGAGGCAACATCCTGAATGCTAAGAGGCCCATAATGAAAGAAAGGTTGTTTCATGAGTTTCTTTAAGTGCCTGTAGGTTATAGTGACAAGATGAGAGAAAAAAATACTACGGTAAGGCTCGCTTTTATCTGAAGAACTTATCTATGAAACAAGCTGTAGACAGCTGGTGAAGCACCCCTTCCAGTGTAATTCATAGTCTGTCAAGTAAGAAGGAGTTTCTGTCATCAGAATGGTCTAAAATTAGGCATGCTGACTTTTCCTCTGGAGATTGTAAGACACCTTCCTCTCTCTAACAATTGCAGAATATAGGCACTGACTTAAGGAAGATACGAATTCTGTCACAGGTATCCAAAAGACAGACATCTTTCTTGCCGTAGAAACTGGTAGGGCTGTTTCAAGGTACTGTGCTCCTCTTGAGCTCAAGTACCCTTGTTTGGGATAGATGCTGCTCAGTCCATCACCACCATATAACTTTCAAGCTGTTACTTGTTTGGTTTTCTTTGAGTTGGAGGGCTCCCAGCTGATAATACTTAAGGGTTCTATAAATTACCCAAAGTTTTTTGCTTTACTACATATCAGTTTGAAGACTTTTGACAGTACAGTTTATGTGTGAAAGCCCAGATTTATGAGAAGGTTTTGATGAAACTTTTGGTCAGAAGTCTTTCCTGGGCGAGGATGAAAACAGCAAGTAGGAGTGAGTCAGTTAACATACCCTCCATGAAGATAAGTCATCCAGTTGTTACATGGGTTTCATAAAATAGGTTTTCTAGTTGTTCTGAAGAGGTGCTTACTGCCTGCTTTTAGATCTAAAAGACATAGACATAAAAAAAACGTGTATCAGAATTCTTCACTTTCATTCTATCTCTCCACTGTAGTTCTTAGTTTCCCTTTTTATAGTTTACTCTCAGTTCAGAAAAGCAGAAAAATTCAGAGTGAGGAACAGCATTTCTTATTATAAACATATTGTTCAAGAACTTTGAGAGTCTGCATATGAGATTATGCTTGGGCTATCTCTTTGTAGGAGCCCAAGTGTCTGAAAGCAGAGTGCTTCGGGACTTTGTCAGCCATGGGGCATGCAGAGCAAATAACTCTTTTAGGCCACATAGTTTTCAGAAGCATACACTATGTAGATTATCTCCTACAACTGACTGAACTGAGAGCACAGATGAGTATAACTGGCAGCTCTGGGCACCACATTAATTCATGCTGACATCCAGGCAAGCAGGTTTGCTAACATAACAGGATGAAATTCTTTGGCTGTTTCTGTTATTGTTTACGATTCCTTCACAGTTTGATCATTTTTTTAAAGACTTCTAGAGTCTGCACACAGGTGTATGCCATGGACCATCTCCTTGAAGGATACTAGATAGAAATGCCTTGTTCTAGAAACTTATGTTGCCTGTGAGTTTACATGTGTGTATGCACGAATACATTTCTTGAAAAAATCAGCTCCTTTTAATCATTTTTGTTAGCAGATACTAGAAGAGGAGGTAAGAATGGTTTCCTTGAGATTTAACCAGCCTTTTTTAGTAGCCTGGAAGTGACGATGAGCCAGGAAGGTGTAAAGTACTGCAGCAGATAACTTAGTTGGTGAATAGTATGTGGGGAAAAGGAAGTTCAAGAAACACTTTCTACTTCATCTTCCTCAGTATGAATATAAATGGAACCAAGGAATATGTGAAGGTCTGATCTGTGACCAATATTATACCCTGTATGATCTCACCAGACAATGCATTTTAGGCTGTATCACTTACAGCAGCTTTTAAAATATTTTGAAAAATATTGTATGTACAGTAAAAGAAATAAAAGACAGATATTTTGGAACAAATTCTAGAGTTTTATGTTGAAAATTATTTGGGCTAGGTTTAAATGACAGCTACTAAGTGTAGGAATTAGACAGTTATTTCCTACATGTTTACTTTCTTCATAAGAATTTTACTTTGTTCCTGTATAACAGCAGTGTTGTCACTCCATTCAGTCCTGCTGAGAGAGAGATTGTTTAATGGCCATGCAAAATGTTTCTGTAGCTTTGCTTTCTTCTGTATCTATTTTCACACGATCCTGAGGTGCTTACCTGATTTCCAGGAGGTGTTTAATGGCAACCGCCCAAGCAGAACTGAGGAGCTCAGTCTGTGCTCCCAGACCTCTGTTGAAATTAATTGTCCCAAGGCCAGCAACAGTGCAGACTGAAATGGAAGCTACTACTGCTGTTACTAAGAAGTAATTTTATGCAGTCTAGAGAGAGGTGATGGCCCCTGAATATTTAAATACAGAACATTTATGCATAAAAGAATTTTTTTCATGAACTGTCTCTGCAGAGCAAGGGATTAAAAGTCTACATAAATACTGTGCATATCATGAAAGAAATATCAGAAAGTAAAGAAGGGAAAAAGTATTTTGAGCCTTTTGAGAATCTCGTGTCTCTTAATTTCTGTTAAGCAAATAATATATTTTCTGTATCAATGGTGAGAACTCCAACCTATATAAATATAAGGAACTCAGATTATGAGTTTACAATATTAATGAGAATACTTGGGACAGGAGTGCAAGCACTCTTTTTTTAATGCTAGGAATACGCATACTTTTGCTACATGATGTGCAGTAGCTTTCTAAAGGCAGTCAGTCGTGAGATGCAGCACAAAACAAGCTGCTGAGGAAACACAGATTGTCAGTCTGTTTACAGTTACTGAGGCTGCAGAGAGCTGTTTTGTGAAGAAACCTTGTGTTTTCCTGAAGAAGTTGACATGCAGGACCCTACATGACTTGCCCATTAGATATAAACATTTCCTACTGTCACAAAGAAATGAGCATTTTCTCTGGATTTTATAGGCAAGGAGAATTCTTAGGTTCTTTTTCTGTATATCTTTACTAACCTTGTCCTTCAGTTTGGCAAACCAAAAGGAAACAACAGCAACTCACAGCAGAAGAACCTACTGTACTAAGCATTGATACTTCCTCCCCACCCACATAGTACAAATTCCATATTTTACACTCACTGCTAAAGACTCTAGGCAATATAAGCCTTTTCTTTCAGTTCTCAAATGGCATACAGAAGGCTTATCTCTACAGAGCGCAGAAAGAGGAGCTATGAGAAAATACCTTCTCCAGTTGCTCTGTTCCATGGGACAATCAGTGAAACTGGATCTTCTTTGAAAACAGTTATCTAAACTTTCCTTGAAAATTCAATTGATAAATATTCTGTGAAATATTCTTCTGCAGAAAACTTGCCTCAGTGATTTCCAGCTGTCGGTGAATGTAGGTGAATTTAAACATAATGTTCAAATTTAATCTTCCTTAATCTGCATCAGTCCAGCAGTTTTTTTTGCCCTATCACTGTTGTCTTTACAGCCAATCTTCTACACACTAGCATATTTTTATTTCTCTTAAAATATTCCTTCCTGTATTATATAAATCCAGCATATTCAAGGTTTGTTTGAGTCTATGCTTCCCAAATACTTTATCAGACTTTTTGATTTGGACTCATACCATGTTGTCTTTGCCCTGCTGTGATGTTCAGGTCTGGTCATAGTACTGCAGCTGAAATTTAAGCAGTGCCAATAGAGTAGAATTACACGTTACCTGTGCTTTATATGCAGTAATCTTGCAAGTTGAGATGTTACCTGCCTTTCTGGAAAGAGTATTACATTATAAAATAAAATCCCTGAAATCTTTCAAAAAGATCCTCCCAAGACTGACAACTCATTAAGTTCAGCACTGAGACCAACTATTTGCAGAGTAAATACCATATATAAAAGGAGGGGATAAGATCTTAGAATGATGTACTAAGTTAATACTTTAAAGAGAAGAGGCTTAGGTAAATACTTGTTTCTTCTGCTGGGTTCATTTTTGACCCATTATTCTGAAATAATACTGCAGGATAATAATCATTGATTCCATAGGAGAATTGAAAACATGGTTTAACACTTGTGTTACTGAAAGCACAGCACGCACTTGCTACAAGTAAATTCTGTTGTTTGTTGTCTGCTTTTATGTTCAGAGCTCTTAGAGTAGGTCAGTGAAGAGGGCAGTCGGTGCAGTAAACAACACTTCCCAGTGAATCACTCTTTCATTGTACTGGCATTTCTTCTCAAATGTTGATTACCAAACATTTCTCCAAAATATCATTTAGTATGCCATTTGAAAATCAGAGAAGAGGCTTGAGATGCAGTTCCTCTCCGTAACTGGCATTTTAGCTAACATAATGTTGATACATGATTTTATACATTACAGTGAAGTCAGGAAATTAGTTTTTAGGTCCACTATTATTATTATTTTCAATTTGCATTTTTCAATTGCAGTCTAAGAATTTATATTAGGTGAACATGCTTCCTGTCTCAGAGGATTTCTCTTAACCGTAGGTAATTTTCTTTATGTATGATATTTGCTGCTTAATTTTAGGGCTCTTTCTCAGGATGATCAAGATGATACCCATTTAAAAATAGAGGATATCATTCAGATGGTAAGTTCATCTTGAAATGTAAATATGCCTACAGAGATATAGCATATTTAAGCCATTAAATTGTATCACTTCTTCACCTTTGCAACTCAGGATAGATATACTATTATTTTATACCATGGATCTGCATTTCAGTTTAAAGAGAGAATTTGGTGCTCATATCAAAGATGGTTCAGTCAGAACTTAACGATTTGATGTTAATGAAAAGCAAAACAAAAAAAAAGTGAAAGATGAATGTATTTGAATTTAATAGATAAATATCTACCATCTCAGCAGCCATCAGAACCTTAGTTGTCTTTCACTGATGAGAACTGCCCTCCAGACCTGACAGTCGCCATCATCTCCTAAGTATTAATACAGCTAAGTGTGTGAGCAATAAAAGGTTCCATGGAAAGTGGCACAGAATGCATAGACTTTAGTTAACTTACATAGATACTCATAACTTAGTATGTGCCTGTTTTCATGTGGGTTTCCAGCCTGATGTTTAACCTCACGTTGTTAACAATTTTTAATTAATTCTTATTTCTCTGTCTCAAATAAGTTAATTACAGTTCTATACTGAAAATGCGTATGAAGTCTTTAATACTGTGCTCTGAAGTACTCTTTTGATACAAAGGGAGATTCTTGCATGTTTTTCTTTTTTTGCAGTCAGAGTGTCCAAAACCAGAGTGCTTTGAGACTTTGTCAGCCATGGAACTTGCAGAGCAAATAACTCTTTTAGACCACATAGTTTTCAGAAGCATACCCTACGAGTAAGTGTTCTCCCATAACTGACAGAAGTGAGTGCACGGATGAGTTATTAACTGATTCTGGGCACACTAGTTCATGCTACTGACATCCTGGCAAAGAGATTTGCATATATAAGAGAATGAAATCTTTTGATTGTTTCTGTTATTGCTTATGATTCCCCTATTGTTTAATCTTTTTTTGAAAGACTGAGGTTTTCCAATCTGTGCCTGTGAAAAAATCTGTGATGTAAGGTTTTGGGCTAGTGAAAGGTGAGTGTAGTATGGACGTGCTCAGTCTCTGGGGAGGAGATGTCAAATCAACTTTCCTCATACAGCAGTTTACAATTCATATAATCACGTAAACTGATAAGACCAATTTCAAATAGGGTCATAATGCTGAAAAGTTATGGGAAAATTGGAGGATGGCATTAAAACCAGTATATATCTTTATAATACCTACAGCTTTATTTGTTAGCATTAATAATGTAATAATGAAGTGCTGGAACTAGTGTAGAGCTTTGTAGTTATCTTCTAAAAATATGAGGTATACTCAAAATACATTCAGGCTACAGTTATAGACAAAGACTCTGTAATATGTTCATTAATTAAATTTTTGTTTTTGTTTTTTCTTTCCACTCATTATCTAGAGAGTTTCTTGGGCAGGGCTGGATGAAACTGGATAAAAATGAGAGAACACCCTATATTATGAAAACTAGCCAACATTTTAATGATGTAAGTACTTAAAAATATGGATTGCCTTCTGGGAACTTTTTTGACACTGCCTGTGACCTCTGGAACAAAAATATCATTTTTACAACATTTTATAATTTCTTATCTAGCAGTGAGTGAATGCTATAGTCTTCTTCTGATTAACTTTTAAAATCAATGCATATAAAGATTCTCCTTTTCTTTAATTGCTTCTCAGCATTTCAATAACTATAAAATAGACTAAAACATTTTAAACTATCCTAACCTGTCTTATGGCTTACAGAATAAAATAGTTTTTTTCATAGTGGAAACGTAAAACCAATTCAGTTTAATGAATGCCCTTTGAATCTCCATCTATTTGTTTGTTACCATTTTCTGTGAAGACATTCCAATCAGTGTTACTGCTGTCGGCTTGAGGATACACTGCATTGCATTTCTTACCCTTCTTTCATATGCTCATTTACATCCACTGTCCTACAACAGTTCAGTGTGTACAGTAGTTCTCAATATGCTTTTCTGATTTTATTAAGAACTGTAATTTCTGTTTTACATCAGTTATATTTTCTACCTTGTTTGTTAAATAATTGTTTCTAAAGTGATTATATTTAGATGTCCTCTTTCTTTGGTCAGATGAGTGCAGACTCAGATCCAAATCTCTCGTTACAGGTTATAACATCCCTTATACACATTCATATGTTTTCTCTTTCAACTTTCCCACCTTTATATGCCAACAAGACATCCCACAAACACTCCATAACCGTGCATGCAGGTCTTTATCCAGTCAGAGTCATGAGCCATTCCTAGCCACGGACTTTTCCTCCAGTCAGGGTCGTCATTACACAGCCATCGTGCAGCTTTGTTTTTCTCTTCTGGAGGTGTCGTTGGTTCTCAGTGTTGCTTTCTCATTGCTTGCTCTGCAGTTTCTACTCTGAATAGTCTTTCTTGTATTCCCACAGATGAGTAACCTTGTTGCTTCCCAGATAATGAATTATGCCGATGTCAGCTCCCGGGCTAACTCAATTGAAAAGTGGGTAGCAGTAGCTGATATTTGTCGATGTATGCACAATTATAATGGTGTGTTAGAAATCACATCAGCCTTGAACAGAAGTGCGATCTACAGACTGAAGAAAACTTGGGCTAAAGTTTCCAAACAGGTAAGAAGGATGTCATTACACTTACAATTTCTAGATTGCTCTCATTGGTATGTTGTTCAGAGAGCAATGTGTTGTAGGATTCCTCTGATAGATATTTCTGCATTAGCAGTACTCATGACTTTTTTGCTTGAAGCATGAAGTTGTGCTGGTATGTCATGTGAAGGTGTTTTGTATTTAGTGTATCCTCTTTCTGCTGTTATTAATTAAGTATCTGTGAGAAAAAATCTAATTTCAGTGGAATTAGCACATCTGCTTTAAATGATTTGGAAGAACCTTAATGAGCAGTGTAAATCTCAGCTTTCTGCTATTAAAAACCATTTTATTATGGTGCTGTAATAGAGTGCAGAGGTCAGTAGGACAGAACCAATCACTTGTAAGTTAGGCAGTATTTGGATAAGGAGTTATTTGCAACCATTTGAAATGTCTCTCTAATGGACACGCAAGAAGTTGGGCTTTTAATCGTACTTTTCCTCCTCAATATGTTCCTGCAGTTATTGAAGAGCAGACAAGCAGCCCAAATAACGAAACCCATTTTCTGACTGTGCTGCATTCTCCAGTCAGCTTACTTTCATAGGCATTTTATCTGTGGCTGCTTTCTTTTGGTTGAAAATATGATAAAAATCCTCCAATATAAACTCTTGGGTAAGAGTTTACCTTTAAAAAATATATATATATATATATATATATGTATGTATGTCTGCGATTTGTAAATGTAAAATGAACAAACACAAAGCCCAAAAGTTAATATTATTGCACTAATCTCTAGTGCTTATTAGAAACATTATCAGTATGTTTCATCAGCCTCAATAAGAAGGTGACTGTTTCTGCCTACAACTTCCTATTAACTGGAATTTCCACTTCAAATATGACACGTTTCTCAGGATTCTCTGTTTTCTCATCTGTACCATAAATAAATAATGAAAACAAAATGTGTTTTCATTTGTGGAGTAACCAAGCTGTGGTGATGTCCAATGAAAAATCAGTCTTGTAAGGCAATAATGACTTTTCAAATATACATTCAGCTTTTATCAGAAACTTGATGCAAAACCAGTTTGGTGCAGGCTGTAAGACAGTAGTACATCTTTTACTGTCCCTAGTTTCAGCAAACCCAGCTGTGGAGCCTCAGCAACATGTAAAATCATGCCTCTAATATTGTTATATACACAGTAAATTGACATGCTGCTCATTAATGTAACGAATGTGGTTGTTTTCTGAATTTGCAGGTTAAAACTATCGGTATAGATCTATATTCTGTGCATCACTGAAAAGAAAATCTTTCAGGATGCCTAACCTCCTATTGCAGAAAAGCATTAGGACTACAATGAAGCTAGATTTGTAGTACCTGTATTGTTACTTCTGAAATTGTGGTGAAGATGCTAAGTGAATTACATCTTCTTAAAGAAGTCTGATACCAGTCTTCTGCATGCAGTGGCAATAATGTTTATAATGTGTTCTCCTTCTAGGCAAAAGCACTCATGGACAAGCTTCAGAAGACTGTGTCATCTGAAGGAAGATTTAAAAATCTTAGAGAAACACTCAAAAAGTATACTTACCTACACAACACAATTATGTTATGTTACAAACAGTGGATAGTGTCTGTTATAGATGAAGTGGCTTTGATTAAGTTTTTAAAATTAATCAAATATTGGGTTACACTTCTGTCTAAAAATCTTTTACATTCTTTTTTTTTTTCTATTTTGATTTTTTCTTTTTGCTCAATATCCTACAGTCAGGCACTCTGATAGATAAATATGATGTCTGCAGAGAATTACTGAAACAAATTCAACTGTTATTCTGTGCAGAGTTTTACTTATAAACTTTTTTAGTAAGTGTAAAACCAGGTTTATAAATAAATATTCTTATTCAGAAACAAGATTGAAAATTTTATTGCTCCAGATAGTTCAGGGCTGATGAATAAGCTTTAGTCAGATCAGAGACCCTTTACCCCTTCATCTTATCGCTGAGTGGCCTGTAGCTGATGCTCAGAGGAACACAGTGCACAGAAGATCGGTATTTCCTCTCCTGTATCCTTCCAGCCCTTTTAGTCTGCTGCTCTGGAAAACAGCCTGTATGTTTGTACAGTAGTTCCTGAATTTATAAAACCTATATTTTTACAAGTTCTTTATTTAAAAGTAGGCTTTCCAGAACGGAATATTAGAACTACTTGAAATGGTCATGAGTCAAGCAAAGAATTGAACTATTAGAATAATGAGAAATGATAAAAATATATACATTAAGTGTAGCTCCTGTTAAGCTAAACACCTTTCAGTCAGTGTAATGCTTGCCTGTGCAAAATAATCATCCTTATAATACAAAAAATAATCATAATTAAGAGCTTAGCTAAGCAAAGACAGCAGTTTGCCTTCAACAGTACATCCATGGTCCTTTTTTCTCATGCCAGAGCTTCAGAAAACCAGGTTTGCTGCTATTTCTTCTGCGATAAGAATCAGCAACTGTGGAGTAGTGATTGTTGCACCCTGGAAGCAGCATTCACTCCATTCCATTTTTCTGCCACCATGAAGAAAAGCTACTCCCAGTTTTCTAGAGCTGCTATCCTAGTTTTCCAGATCATCCTTCCTGTCTTTTGTTCTCCTGTATTCACTGTTGATCAGGCTTAAAAAAAAAAAACTGAAAAAATGCTATGTATTTACACATACACATATGTTTATGTATGTCTCCACAGATGCATGCACACGCATGCATATGGATCTTTGGTGGCCCTGGAAATCTTAGTACTGATGCATAAGAACACCATCCACTCAGAACCACATCTCTGTGCACTTTAAGCTTATTTGTGCAATCTGTTTCTGGTATCTCCTGTCAGCTGGGACTGAGAAATGCTTGAAGGTGCTCTCTGATTCCAGAGTACACCAGCCCTTCCTCTTGCTCCATCATAAGGCTAAAAGGCTTCCTGGGTTTAGTTTAAACTAGATGCTTGATGCAGTCCATTCAGTTTTTCACACACGGAGTGAGAATAACTGAAGTGAAGTTAGTTTTAGAGACAAATGTGATCCACTGTATAAAAGTTCTTCAGGTAATAAAGAGATTGCATAAGTTATAAAAGTAATAGTTTATAAATTTATTAAAATGCAAATATACTGATCTTTTTTTTTTTACAGTTGTAACCCACCTGCTGTTCCATACCTTGGAATGTACTTGACAGATCTAGCATTTATTGAGGAAGGAACACCAAATTTCACTGAGGAAGGCCTTGTTAATTTTTCCAAAATGAGAATGGTAATTTTAATTTCTTTACATGCTTTCCCAACAGATGCTTAATTGTGAGCTAATTATTGATTTAATTACATCTGCTTTGAACGTAACTGCTAGGACTTAAAAGTATATTTGCATTGTGCATGGTAGATAGCTATTTGAAAGCAGTCGTCCCAATCCTCTATCACCACCTTCTGGTAAACTGAGGATTTGTATGGTGTCAGTTTATCTCCTGTTTGTTCACTGAGAAGTTGGAGACAGAAAAGCAATTGCCTTAAGCCTGTGAAGGAGCAGCAAAAGGAGCAACATAATTAAATGAGAAGATCAAAGTGTTTCATCAGAAAATAGTGCTCACAGTTTTTTTTCCAAGTTAGCTAGGATCTGTTTAAAAAAGCATTATGATGTTGATTCTCTCCAACTGTTATTTTATAAAGCTCCTTGGAGAGAAGCATGGAAACTTCTCTGTTAATCTCAACTTAATGTTCATGTAATACTCGAGGCAAAGATAAAGGAGGTAATCAGTGTACAGTTATCAGTATACACAGAGGGGAGAGAAGGTGGATCACTTGAGACTGACTTTACAATAAATGGTAAATTTAGGGAAGCTAAATCCTTGGAAACCATTAGGAGATTTTCTCTGCACTTTTTTTCTTGTTCCCCAGGTAGTTAAAAAATTTAAATTAAGAAAAAAAAAAAAAAAAAAAAAGAAAAGCATTATGTGCCTAACTGAAGTCAAAATGAAGTTGTACTCACTAGATTTATGTATTCTTTTGAAAGATCTCACACATTATCAGGGAAATACGCCAATTCCAGCAGACCTCCTACCGCATAGAACATCAGCAGAAGGTAAGGCACTGTTACCTAACAGTGAAACTAAAGCAGTGGTAGAAATCGGCTGTAAGGCACTGCTGTTGTTGAAAGCCAAAATGAATATTTTCTGCTGCCACAAACAGGAGAGGACAGACAAATATGTCCATAAATACTGTGGGTTTGTGGTATCTTGCTTCCTTAGCACTGTTTGTAGAGGCAAGTTTTTCACCATCCTGTGAGAGCTCCCTTGGGATTACAGCCAACATAGTTTTGGAGTACAGGGGAATGGGTTCAAAGAGACATGTGATCTTAATGCTTGGTTAGAACCTAATTCCCCACAGAATCCCAGAATACTGGGATTAAAGGATAAGAAATGGCACAAGCATCCACTGATGCTGTGTCCATCCTAAAGTTCTTTTCCTCTTGTCATTTATGGGACCTATGAAAAGTTGTCCAAAGTCAACCTGTGTCTCCAGAGAAAAGACACGAGAAAATCGACATGAGCCTTGGTAACCTGGCTAAGGATTTAGTCCTGAGACATTGTACTTGATTCATAGAGCACTGGTGGTACAGCTTTACACCATTACAATGAGATGTTGTGTTTCTCTGAGTTCAGCTATGTTTTCTGCATTTCAGGTCACTCACTACTTACTTGACAAGACACTCATCATAGATGAAGATACTTTGTATGAGCTTTCCCTAAAGCTTGAACCCAGACTCCCTGCCTGAAGATCCAGCTTTGTCTCAGAGTCTACAGAATGCTTTAATACAATGAACAAAATTATGCATGCCCAGTCCTAAAGACAGCAAGGGAAATACTGAGAAGAATGCAAGCTCTCTTTTCCAGTAAGAGATACTGAACCTCACAGCATTTCCCTCTCAGGCAACAAAAATTTGCTGTTGGACATGGAAGACAGAGATGCTTTCATCTCTGCATTAAGTGATTGCTATTTTGCAAAGACAGTGTTTCACAGTAAGATGTGTGCATTTAGTGGAAAATAAGAGGCTTTGCTGTGAAAGATAACTCATTCTAGCTATCTTAATGTTGACAAATTTAAACAGTGGTAATATACCCAGTTACATAAGGCAGATGAGCAAAATGAGATGGCTCTGATGTGGTCTGTGTTGATGGCTGACAGTGCAGTCACTGAGGAAGTAATGGTACTGGTGTCCTCCTGTGACTTTAAATTAATTGAAAAAAAAATGGGAACTTAATCATCTCCTAGCCTGGAGTGACTCTAAGGTAGCATCTAGTATCTCTCTCCCTATCCACAGTTGTTCTAAATGTTTGTTTAATGATATCCTTTATAGAATGTTACCTTTGTTTCCTATAAATGTCTTATCAGCCTTTTCTAAGGTAACTGATTTTACATATAAATAAATTGTAAATATTTTTTCATTAATATTCTATGAGAATATTTTCAGCATGGAAAGTAAATAAACTAGCTGAATAGTTGTACACAGTTGCCAACCTTGCAGGCTTCATCTGGGAAGTACAAGGTTAGGAGCTATACCTGAGACTCGAGAGATCTGGGCCTGCAGTGAACGGGGATGGTTAGTCGTGTTGCAATGCAGTCCTGAAAAGGCACTTTATTTTTTCTGCACCTTCTGCAATTTCTGCGGCAAGTCAGGCAACAGAGCACTTTCTGGACACACTGTGGAGAGAAGAATATACATGGCCTGTCAATAAGTAGTGACTATTAGAAGTTGGAATGGCTGTTTTGCTTGGACATGTCTGGTTTTTGTTCAGTAACCGAGTGCTGACTCTGCTCTAAAATCATTCATATCAGCAGCAAACTTGGAATGGAGCAAACACGTACTACACATTTTTATTTGAAGTAGTGATTGTCATTTGTGTAGGGGCACGTTTCAAGGAAATGTAACAGATGGTAACTGTTTTTAAAGCCTATGCTTTTGTGATATGTACCAGGTAGACAGATTTCATTTCTACAGATAGTTGCTACTTCCTAAAATTTTCTGATCATAAGTGGCCTGTTGTAGCTGCATGGCAAGTGAGCTCAAATGCATGCTGTAAAGTACATCAAAATACAAAGTGCTGGTATTAGCACTGTTGAATAACTTGGCTGGAAAAGTGTCCTTTTCCAATGATGTTCAGCCAGTTGAAGAAATAGGGCTATATCACTGTATACCTCCCTTAAATCCTCTCAGGGAGATAAATGTTCAAAATGGATTGTGACCTAGGCCTATTTGATCTGACAGTTCTCACTACAGTCATGATGCTTCTGAATGATTGCAATGAAAAATGGATCTGCCTGGCTTGTGTGCTTTGTCTTTAATTGCACTTTAATTATATTGTTGGTCCAGCCGAGAACCGCACAGTAAAGTCATTCATTCTACACAAGTGTAAATGCAAGCATTTATAAATGTACCTTAGCAACTGTAAAATTAGTAAAGGGTCTTCATCTCAAGGACCACCTCTTTGTAAATAACTGCATGTAATACTGGGAAGTTCCTCAGTTAGAAAAGCAGACAGCGACAAAAAAGGAAATTCCAGAAACATCTGAAGTATTTCTCATGATTGCTGTAGAAATGAACGTGGAAGATACTACTTATAGAAGCTTTTAATTATCAAAACTGTGCTTATTCTTTTCATTAATTGCTGACAAAAAAGCTGGTCACATCCCAGTGCATGGTAGAATGAAAAGCATGTTTTGTTTGGAGCACAAAACCAGCTTTTTGTTTATTCTCTGTACAAAAACAGATACTGTCTGTTATTTTTGTTAAAGATTTCAAGGTCAAAAAGAAATGGGGGGAAAGTGGTCAAAAAAATATGATTTCTTAATTTGGTTTTGTTGTTTCTCTGTTAACACGGAAAATATGTAACAGCTGTCAGTGTGGCTTGGCATCTCTGTTGTTTGCTGTGAACTGCTGCTTTATCTTCCTGTATCCTTCTATACCAAATTTCCTTGATGTTTTTAGGGTTACAGGGTATAGTTCTTTGTCTTATTTTGTTCAGTTTGTTGTTCTGTACTTTTGGTACATGTATTGGTTCTTCAGACTTTGAGAACACTGAATATGTTTTAATGCTTGCTGTACACAGGGGTGGTGCTGTGCTAGTGCTCCAGTGTTACACATGGACATAGGCTAGGAAGATGAAGGATTAAAGATGTTTATTTTGATGGTGCTAAGCATCTGGTATCTTTAAGTCAAGTCAACCACAGTGTGGTTGTTCAGCCCCTCTGGAAAGGGATGTACTACTTACATGCCAAAATTTACCCCTTGGTCAGTGGCAGGATTTAGACTGGCATCACTGGAGTAACTTGGTAAATATTATGGTCAGAGCAGTGTTTGATTCAATGATAAACAATTTAACAATGGTTTTGGATGTGGATTCAATGTGTTCATTAAAACAGAGGAGGTGGCTGCTCAAAGAATTGATCAAATATTTTGACAATCTTAATCCTAGCCAGTATTTGCAATCCCAAATCTGAGTTGGAAAAAGCTGTTGTGAAGAAGTCCTATGCAGTAAGTGCAGAGTGATGCATTTTGCCCCTCACTCAGGTAGTATATGCATTTCAAATGTAAGCAGCCTGAGTGCCTCTGCTACAGTACTGCTGCAGCGCTTGAGCTATGGCTGTAGTTAGTAGGCAACCTGCTTTATGTGAAGCTTTGCTCAGTACACCCACCCAACCAGCTAGTGCAGTGATCTGTCCCTCTGTACTGCACAGGGCTTGTGCAGTTCCTTACTACCAGTTTCTCTCTGCCACTCCACCACAGACTTATAATGTAGTGTATTGAGATGCAAATCCTATTCATCAGATACCCCGTTTGCCACTGGTGTTTCAGGGAGGATGTTTCCAAGTGAGGATTTTGGCATTCGGACCTTGCTGTCTTTTAGGATCTTGTCCATTGTACTTTTATGCCGTGGAAGCAGTGCGGACTTACTCATTTTTGCAAATGGAGCTGAAAAAGCCCATATGATTTAGAATTTGTGAGAAAGAGAAGGGCTGAAGTACCTCTCTACTTGCCTTTGTTAGCTCCTCAGCGCTGCTGCACCCGTGAGACGCAACAGCAGTTCATTGCGGGGGGGTTGCTCTCTTCATTGCTCTCTGGACAAAAATGCCTCAGGGTGTATGGGCTGGCTAGCTGCAAAGGGGATAGCATATTTCACCCACTTTTCTCAGTGGGCACATCTGCCAGCAAAGTCCAGGAGAGTTCTGCAGTAACTTTTACTGTACAAGTAGCATCCCAGAGTCAGCCTGCAGTCAGCTGGGAACGTGGGCAGGAGCACGGGCACTGCCCCTGTGTGTGACAGACATGTCTCACAACGGTAGGGGCCTAGAAATGCCTTCACCCCAGCCTTCACTCCCTGCCTGCTCCCTCCCCTTCCCCACTCAGCTCTCCAGTGTTGTTCATGGCACTTCATACCAGCCAGTGGATGGAGGCCATGATCAGTCATCATGTGGAAGCAAAGTGAATCTGTTGAATTTACAGTTGCAGTGATTGTGTCCTGTCCCTTTCTTTCTGCTAGTCCTGTAACAAGCAAACATGCTGCTTAGGAGCGACAGATTCAGCCAGGACTGATAACTGTCTAAAAGCAAGAAAGAAATCTCTGCCCTCTTTCCACTTTCCTAGTTCTTGCTGCTGGTTGTTATTCTGTAGGGTAAAAAGAAACTTCTTATTTAAAAGTATTTATTAAATTTAGTCACGTTGATTTTGATTTCGGGACATGTTCATTATCCCCAATTTTCCTTAATTACTATTATTTATTTTAAGGGATTTTTAAAACATTGTTTTATTTGTATGGAAATTCAGTCTTTATTCCTTTCACTCTTAGCAACAACATTAAGCTTAGATATATAATTTAAAATTCTCGCTAATAGAGATATTTTTACCCAGTCATAATTGCTTTTCATTAAGGGCAAAATCCTTCAGACCTCATTCTGACATTACGTTAGGCTTCACTGAGAGCTTTTCTTAACTAAGTTTTTGGGGATCTGGCTCTCAGCTATTTGCCTGTTAACAGTTTTTGCCTCCAAAGGTCAAATGTCTCTGTAGTTTGCTTTATGTCCAATATTCTGCTTACTTATGGTGGTTTTGTGGTACCTTTACTTTTGCAATTGTCTCTGAATTTCTGTTCTCTAGGTGAATAGATGTATGTTTATTTGACAGATGTACCTATATCTAACTGCTTGGTGCACATCCAGATGTTTTTGCATGTATTGTAACTTATCTTTTACTGGAGGTTATTGCTTTGTATTGTTAGTAAGGCATATCAGGCAGGGTGTTGTGCCTGTGTGCTGATTAAACTTTTTTTTTCCTGAGTTTGAGGAGTACTTACTGGTTTCTGTTTGTTTTTTACCCCTGGTGGTGAAAAGTGGGAACTTAAACACACCACGTCTGAATTCTGGGTCTTTCAGGCAAACAGAAGATGAGAAGGGACAGCCCATTAATAAGGAGAAAGTCAGAGAAAAATCTGGGTGTTCGACTTTGAATTTGACCTTCTCCATTTTATTCTTTGTTTATGTTGCATTGCAAATGCTGTGGGCATAATGGGGATGAAAGCTGATTTTTAACTTGGAGCAAAGAATGAAACCAAATTCAGACATGCTGATCCATTGTGATGTGTAGGGGCAAAGTAACTAAATTAGATATGGAGCAGATTAAACAGGACCAGCTGCACAGCTCATTCTCCTTCAGCTGAGGAAAACCTGTGTACTTCTACACCTCCATTCTGTTTGTACTCCTGCAGATAATTAGAAGGTGCTGGAGTTTAAATAGCATTTCAGAAGGTGTTTAATGACTTCCTAGTTCAATAGAATGTTTTTTGAAACAAGAAACAGTTATTTAAATAGAAAATAGCATTGTCCCTAACATCTTCCTCTTGTTGCTGTGTTGTTGACCTTTTGACTAAATATCCTAAGCCTTTTCTTGGCTCCTGTACTGCTCTGGACTTAAAGGTCATATAGCCACATACTCAACACACATTAAGAGAAAACATTCTAGGTTTGTAAGTAAGGTTTGTTTTCCTTTGTTGAATTAAATTGGATGAAAAGATACCTATTAAATCTGTTTCTAGAAATAAAGTAATTTAAACACATAAATAGGGCACAAAGCAGTGTATTCAAATCAGAATCCATTCAGTGTTCTGTAACCCTGCAATCACTTTTTTTGCAATCTTTTTATATTCTCATTGTTTTACGTGAGAACTGGAACTGACCTGAAAGGGCAGCTTACTCTTGAAGATGTCAGATGTTTTCATTCAAGAAAAAAAACTTAACCTGACAAGCAGCTCTTTTAAAATATCCTGGCTTTTGCAAGATCATTTTTATTTCAAGTTGTTTTCCCTTCAATTTTAACTGTTTCATTAAGCTTATTTTGACGAGTTGGCTGGTTTTATATTTTTCTCTTACTGCCATAATCACAGATCGTTGATGAGACTGTAGTATTCCACTTCTTAGTATGTCACAGGAAAGCAACCACTAAATATTCTCCAAAGTGGTAGACTCAGTGTAATAGTCAGGGAATCCGACAGCATACTGCGTTTTTAATCTTGAGAACGAAGAAAGAGAGGAAAGCTGTCAGATGCCATTTGAAATGTCAGCTCTGAAAAGAAAAACCTGAGTTTGGTATTGATTGAGCAAAGGTAACGAACAAGAATCATGAAGACTGAGCTTACCTTGAGAGCTGAGTTTGAATATTCTGGTCCAGAATTTATGTGTTCTAGAAGAAATAAAATTCGGGAAGAGCTTGAAATCTCAATGAGCACTGAAACAATCCATGATGTTCGTTTCAGTTTCTGTCTGCCTGAGCCAAGCCTGCATACTTGCCTTGCTAAGTGTTCTAGCAGAAGCTATTTTAAGTTTGTTTTCCCACTGGAAGCAACTCCTCTGTGTAAGCTTCAGACCAGGCACTGGTCTGCCATAGTTGCACACAAGCTGTGCACATGGCTGCATGTTGGAAACTAGGCAGCAATGCTGTTACTAAAGACATACTATCTCTCACTGCCCTTCCTGGAAGCTACTCACTTATTCAGATTGGGAACCAGTTTGATTTTACCTTTCTAGGTCCTGAGTGTGTTTCGCATAAGTAAAAACTAATAACTGTTCCAGACAAAAAGAATTCACAAAGTCCTAACTGTCTTTTTCATGCTCTTATAAATCTAAATATTTTATTTATTCTTGTTGTTAAAGTTTCATTTCTGATTGGCCATGCAGTTGAAAAGAGAACACTTCTTCCCTCGCTACGCCTGCTGGAATTGCCATAATGAAAAGTATTGAATCAATATGGTGGAAAGATAAAGGTGCCCAGACTTTACCATATTTGAATATGTTGGCTGCGCTTCTCTTTAGAATTCCCTCACAATCTCAGAATTGATTAATTTTTCCATTTTCCATTAATTGGCATAATTAATCATTTTAAAGTAAATGCAGCATTTTGCTGTATTGTTTTATGAGGAGAATAAGAATCTCCCTTTGAATATTACAGACTCAAATCCTTAGTTAAGGTGTCTTGTGAAGTGAAACAAATGGTTTCCATCACTGTCACCAGCTGGCCATGCAGGAGTGACAGGAGAAAGAGAGTTAAGTATCATTCTCTGGGATGGGGATGAGAGAATGCAATATCAGGGTTCCCTCTTGCAGAGCAGGTACATTTGTTCTCAACCTGTTCTCTTGAGAGAGGGGGAAAAAATAAAAATTTTAAAAAACATTTCAGTGCAATACAACTTTTTTTTAAGTGAGACAAAATCTCCACAAAAATATTGTTTAAGAGCAATTTTCAAAGGGCTGAAATCGTCTGAAATTAAATGGCCGCCCCTTTCACACATGAATCTACACTAGACTATTTCTACCTTCAGTCTTCCTGCTCGGGTCCAAAAACATGCCTTGTGGAGCTCTGCAGTGCACTCTGGCAGAAAATAGCACGATCAATTTTTAGACAGTCACGAGGGCCCCGTGATTCTCTTGTAAGGATTATGAATATTCCTACTTTCCCGTAGGGTCAGGCTCATTTCTAGAAAAGTCCTTTCTCCTCTCTTAGACCAAAAAGCACTTTGCTAATTATAGAGAACCTTTCGTATAGAGTGTGGTGGATGTCCTGTCGAGGGCAACTTTAATAACTTAAAATAACTGGGGTTATTTTTAAATGGTTGGCTGGATCCAGCTCAACTTTTTATTTAGCAGACATGTATTAGCACTTAAAAGTAAGCTGAGCAGCCACAGCTGTAGGAGGACTACTCTGTGCCTACTTGAGCACCTGGTCAGTGGAAAATTTTTGCCCCTGCTTAGCGCCAAGTACTTGCTTAAATGGCAATCAACTTCAATGAGATATAACTGTTTTTTTGTTTGTTTTTTGTCAGCTCAAAACAGAATGCTTTTCTGTCTGAGATCTCAGCAATTTGCATAATGAACTTCCACAATCTAAATAAGATCTCTGGTAATCATTTGGTACACAAGAATATTTCTTCCCAAGAAGGCATGCTTCACTGTGTTGGCATATGACTGCCTTAAGAAGCTGAAGAATTAAAGACCCACTGAAGCTGAAAACCAGTGATTTTCATTGCACTGGGGCAAGCTGACTTTTAGCTTTTGACGATGGTGTGAGGAGTGGCTCTTTGCAGCTGCGTGATGCCAGCACTCTGATTCCAGCAGTAGGAGAGCTAATAATGACAGGTGTCCTTGCAAGCTCTTCACCACAAATTTAGCATCCTATAATTCCTTACTCAGCACCTGTAATAAGCAACTACAGCTAGACTTACAATTTCTGTCATAGTTGCTTTGATAACTCTTTTTCCCACAAGTGTGAAAATCTGACTTTATAGAAATTTTCTTTCAAACAAATGTGCTAATCAGGAATGCCTTCCCATAAAACAAAATGACCTTTTTGTCATCTGTATGGGTAGATTCTCTGCTCAACAGCTTCCACACACACACAAAAAAACTCAAATGGGGCACAGATTACATCTAAATTTCGGCTGAACTCTCTGCACAGGGACAGGTGGCATTAAAATGAATAGCAATAGAATTAACACCCACCTACTACTAACTCACCAGCACAAGCACAGAAACCAAGACAGCATCTTAACTGAGAGGTTTCAGATAAATACTGAGATTAGATAGAGATGAATTTAGAGCATCATTTATGGATGGTTCTTAGCATTCCAATTGTTTCTGTAGCTGAGTTCCTCAGAAAACAGCTCAAGGGACTGAGCTATTTCTCAAGTACTGAGTGAAACTTCAGAAACTGCAAGGGAACCCGCTAACTCTGCCAGCTGCTTGTGATGTTTGTTAGCAGCCTGAGTTTTGTTTTCATCTTCTGTCCTGCCAGGCTCTAACAAATGGCTTAGACATCTGAGTGTGTCACAAAGGTGCTTACATTCATGGTGTCAACTACTTTGAGGGGGAGATCTTTGTGAGAAAAGGCTGTCTTCAGTCAAACACTTAAAATGAGGTCTGAGCTTCAGACTGTGTTGCTGGCACAGTGGTTGCAGTCAGCATAGATGCATCAGCACACAGAACTTTGTGCTGCACACAGATGGGGCCCATTGCCAGAGCAGAAGTGATGCAATCAGCAAGGCACTCTTGCTGAGCATGGCAGGAAGAGTCACTCGCTGTTTTCTTTGCCAGTTCCTGCGCTGAGGTGGATTTGTTATGCTCATATTTCTGTGCTCATGTTACCACAGGAGAAATTCCATTGGGTTTTTGTTGTTGTTTTCTATCAAAACCACAAACACTGTGCTGGTTTGATAGAAAGCAGGTGTGGTAAAGAGGGGGGTTGGTTATGATTATGGTGAGAACGCATTGTTCTCATTGACAAAATACGTTACGATATTTTTGGGATGCAGTGCCTACGTTTTACGTAGCTTCAAAAATCTGAGATTTGATTTTAGGAAATCACCTTGCATAATTCAAGAAGTATTAAGCATACAATGGGAACAAATAAAGTGTTGGACTTTTTTTAAAAGCTGCTCAGTATTGGCCCTTATGTTTCTATGCCAGCCTTGAAAAATGCTTAGCTCCAATGAGAAAGTAACTAGGCCAATGAAATTGTATATTCCTTCTTTCATGTGCTTATTTCTTCACTACTTTGCAATAACTCCAAACTGGAGTTTTAGTGCTTCTCTTACACTAACACCTTCAAATTTCACATTTCTGGACACGTCTGCCTTACAAGAACCAACAATGAGTGTGGTGGAAGAAAAGGATTGAAAAAAACCTGCCTGCTATCTTGTCTCGTCACCTGCGCTGTGATGTCACCTCACCCACACTGTGAGGTTGCAGTGTTCTAACCCTACTCCCTCTGGGTGAGTGGGGCGGCTCTCTGGGCAGGCCAGGTGAGAGGCCTGGCCGAGAGGGTTTGTGGCATCTCTTTTCTGAGCCCCCAGGCCGAGGCCATGGCCCTCTCTGCCTGAGAGAAGCGTGTGAGGGACGGTGTAGCTGTCACTCAGCTCACACACCTCCTTCTGCCACATCCTGCTCCTGTCCCCAAGGGCATCCTTCTGAGTGCAAATGTCATTCATGTAACCAGGCATTTTAGGATTGGCCACCGCAATTATTTTCCCTTCCCTCACCTCATTCTGCCCCTCTCATATTACCTGGACTCCTGTCAGCCCCAGCGCGTGGCTCCCCTCACACGCCAGGCTCGCTGCAGGCAGCAGGACCTCTTCCTTTGGCTGCAAGGTCAGTCCCACTAACCGCATTGCTTCTCTTGCAGTTTTTTCTGACACAGGGCTGTTCCATCACTCGGAAGCACTGCAGGACGCAGCATAGCGCGATTGTAATTTATCAATCCACACGGCTCTTTGGTTCAGGAGGAAATGTCAGCCCACTGTGCAGCTGCTTCACAGGCTAACCCTTCAGTGACAGTTTTAAATAAGGGCAAAATCAGTTCCTCTGACCTGTAACAGCAGTGCAGGGAGCACGATAGTTCTAGGAGTGGTTTGTGGGCGGGATATAGCTCTGTGCACTGGGGTTATGTTGTGCAGCAGCGTCTGAAAGCTCAGAAGGGCCCCAGCTGGGCCCTGGTGGGGTTTGCATCCGTTCCCACCAGGAGGAGCCCGAAGTGAGGCCTCGTGCAAACCATGGCGTGTGCTGGGGCTGGCAAGCTGCCTGCCTGGCAAGGGACACAGCTTTTCCGTATCTCCTCTGCTCATAGTAATTGATTTAGGCGTGCTTTTTATTTAATTTCACTCAGATGATTAGATTTTTATACTTGCTCACAGGCCTGTGGAATTATAAGCAGAAAGAGGCTGAATGGCAGGTTATTTTCTGTAGAGGTGCTGCGTGCTGTGTTGAGGTGCAGTCAGGAAGATGCCTGCACTGCCGCTACTTCTGCACTCTAGACATCCTAACTTAAGCCCTTCTTGGTCAGAAAGGCCAGGGGCAAAGGAAAACTGGGGGATAACACCTCCGATAGCTGCTGATAAAGATTTAATGTTTTAATTTGAATCTCAAGCTCTGAGCACGTAGAGTGAGGCAGCAAATGAAGAGCAACGTCAGCTGTTTTCTGGGCATCTAAAAATGGTGCCTCCCTCATTTAGTTGCTTGTGATATTTATTGCAGAAGTTTCTAAGGTGCCCACAACTTCCATAGAAGGGCAGAGCAAACTTTCCCCTGGCATCTGCAGGCTTTAGCTGAGATGACTCAAAGGCATAACTTCTTGGAAATAAAAGACCACCTCCGCCAATACCCATCTCCACCATGTGAACTTTCTGCTCACCACCGTGTCAGCGTGACCCAAGAGCTTAGCAGTTTGAGAGGCACATATACGTTACCTGTGTGAACTTTGGCTATGACTCTGCCATTCCTCTGAAATGTCGCT